AGGAAGGGAGAGCCTTCGGTATGAGCCTAAGGAAATGAGGCAAACACTGTGTTGTGTGTCATCAGAATCCCTGTCTACCCATGTGTTCAGAAAACTGACACAGTAGCACCCAATGTTCCAGGAAGGTGCTTGCAACACTAAGGTGAACAGGTAAGCAATCTCTATCCATGGAGGAAGGCTTCCTAACCAGAAGGAAAGCAAACTGATTTAAGTGATGCAGACCAATATATCCTCTAACTGCAAATTTTGTTTAGACTGATTTCTTCCTAGGTTGCTCAGTGCTCTTCAGTGACTCCTGCATTACTAGAGGCTTTGCATTAAAGAATTAAAGAACTCAAATGTCATAACAGAAACATAAATTGGTGGGGAAGAAAGGGAAATATGCCCCATTCTCATATTTGAGATACAATGACACAGGGTTCAAAATGTGTTTCTAACTAATTCATTATGTATCTGCCCAGAAAAAAGGTTCTTGTTTTCCTGTTCTTTTCTACTCTCTCCACACAAAACTTGGCATTGAGCCACTTGCTTCTAGACCACTGATTCTGCATTATCATTTTCAGATGCAGTGACTCCAACTGGACACAATCATCCAAGTCAGGATCTTAAAGACAGCATAATCAGCTTTGGCTGTGTTACCATGTCATGTGGAAGCACCAGGAATGTACAAGCTTTACCATTCTTCCAATAGATGGTACAACCACAAGGTGATCTTGTACTAAAAACAGTATTATCTCAATTTTACACTGAAGAGCAGAGGTGCAAAGAGAAGGTCAGAGCATACTGCAGGCCACTCCAACTTTTTTTTACAGCTGGAGATTTTATTTTCTGTGGTAACTGAGCGCTGAGTCCATTCAGTATGGTCCAGGTCTTTCCTTGAGCAGGCATTAATTTTAAAGCTGCTAACATGTGTAAGTGGCTGGATAACATGACAGTTCCCTTTTAATAGTGTCTTCATCCAACTTAGTGTCACTCTGATTAAGAGGGCATATAAAAGGAAATAAAACAAAATCATAGAACCATAGAATCAACCGGGTTCGAAGACATCCAAGATCACCAAGTCCAACCCTATCATGGTTACAACACCATGGCACTAAGTGCCACATCCAGTCTCATCTTCAAAACCTCCCAGGATGGTGAATCCACCACCTCCCTGGGCAGCACATTCCAATGCCTCACCACTCCCTCCGTAAAAAATCTCTTCCTAATATCCAACCTAAACCTCCCCTTGCAGAGCTTGAGTCTGTGCCCTCTTGTCCTCCTGCTGGTTGCCTGGGAGAAGAGACCAACCCCCACCTGACTCCAACCTCCTTTCAGGGAGTTGTAGAGGGTGATAAGGTCTCCCCTGAGCCTCCTCTTCTCCAGGCTAAACAACCCCAGCTCCCTCAGCCTCTCCTCATGGCACTTGTGCTCGAGTCCCTTCACCAGTCCCATTGCTCTTCTCTGGACCTGCTCCAGCACTTCACTATCCCTCCTGAACTGAGGGGTCCAGAACAAAATGGGCTTCATGCAAATGTGTCTCTCTCTGCTACTTTTACAGAGAGATTTCCAGAAGCTCTGTTGACCTTATAGCACTTAAGTCAGAAGTGTAGTGCCCTTTGACTTCAGACAGGAGTCATGTCAAATTGATTCCCAAAACTCCTGATATTCGTCCCTCATCTGTTTAGCACTGCCATGAAAAGCCACCCATGGGAACCTGATGCCAAGACACTGGTCAAATGAATGGGCTGAAAAAAAAGAAAAAAAAAGAATTGCTATTATCCTTATTAAAAAGTGATCAGGACACCATGAATACTATGCCACCTCCCTTCTGAAATGAAGATGGACATCGTAAGTACTTTTGCAAGTAGACACCTGTAATTTTAGGAGAAGGTAGAGATCAGGGTTATGTTGATTCCTTTCACACATTCAGTCTGTGCATCTTTTACTGGCAAGTCTGACCAAAATTCTAGTCTGTTCTGTATAGAATAAGACTATTCAACTTAAACAGAGTCTCAGCCAATCTCAAATTATTCCTTGATATTACTGCCAGGAAGAGCTGTGGCTCTTCTAAGTTTGAGGCTTATCAAGTTTATTCATTTAATTAATGAATAAACATGTTCCCTTCCCTAAAGAGAAGAGAGTGATTACTGGAACTACGAGTTAATGGCCTCCAGTTTAATCACTGTAGTTGGATCAATCACCTGCAAAAGGGCAAGACTTGTAGCAAGGCAAGTGGCATTTCATTTCACATGGACCAGAGCTGGTTTGCAGTGCCAAGTACCAGTGTAGGAGCACTCACTAATAAAGTTTGCCTGACAGAAGACCTGCCATTCTGGGGCAGGATCACATGTGCAAGAGGGGTCATGCAGAGTTCTTCCATAGATATACAGAACATTAGAAAGCCTCTTA